TTTATTTAAAGAAGTGAAAATTCTAGAAGATTCATTTAACATAATTAATAGTTTTCTTTTAAAAGAACCTCCTGAAATTGTTGAAAAGGTGTAAAACCAATTGGTTCCAGATGAATTCTTTTGTAACAACGAAATAAGAATGGTGAAATGGTTAGATATAAGGTTTTTCACAAAGACCTTATATTGATTTTAAGACATATTCACTTGTATTGGATGCAATTACATTTCCATATTTAATTAGTCCGATTGCACAAAAAGGTTTAAATTTACATTTAATGGATATTGTCACAACATGTTGTCTTGAAAACAATATTTATATAAAACTCTTTGAATAATTTAATTTGCCAAAGATGCAAATTCTATAGAAAAGTATTTAATCAAGTTGGATAATTGGACTTGTGTGGTATAATTGTCTCACGGAGTATTTGTTAAAAGAATGATATAAAAACTATTCCATTTATCCTTGTATTTATATGAAAAGAAATGAATTTGTCATGTTGTTTATGTAGATGATATAAACATCATTAGAAATCCTAAAAAACTTACAAAGATAATTGATTATTTAAAGAAATAATTCGAGATGAAAGATCTTAGAATGAAAAAAAAAATGTTAGGATTACAAAGTATTTAAATAAAGGTAATTTTGTATATGAAGGGCTTATATAATGAAGGTACTTAAAAAAATTTATATGGATCAATCATATTTATTATGTACTTTAATGATTGTAAGGTCTTTAGATGTAGATACAAGATTCTTTTATATCTCAAGAGAAAGATAAAGAACTTCTTGATTTTGAAGTTGTTAGGTATCAGGCAAAAAAACATAAGTACACAACTAAAATAAAAACATGAGAAAAACACCGACAATAGGTAAAAAAGTAATTTCACTAATAAAAGAAATTACAACCCTTCTCTTTACTTTCAATGAGGAAACAATAATACTCTCTCCTGAAAATAGAGGAAAAATAACTCTAAGAAAACCTAAAAGGAAAAACTATTTTTCTCTCTTAATTTATCTCTCAAGTACTAAAGCAGAAGAAAAAGAAAATGAAGTGATTTTGGTGTATTTTACAAGGTAAACATTGTGTTCCTTTTATAATAAGAAAAGTAAACACCAAAGTAAGATTTGCTGATGTGAGACTTTTCTTCTAACAGAAGTACCATATCTTAGTGCTATAGAAACACTAACATATCTTGCTAACTATACTTAACCTAATACAATATTTATTTTAAATTTATTAGCAAACCCAGTACCTTAGAGTTAGAGGTCGATACTCCAACCACTAAGCTACTAGAATTTTTTGATAATAATTTACAAATAAATTATATTTATATATTTATATATTTATATATTTATATATTTATATATTTATATATTTATATATTTATATATTTATATATTTATATATTTATATATTTATATATTTATATATTTATATATTTATATATTTATATATTGATATATTGATATATTGATATATTGATATATTGATAAATTTATATATTTATATATTTATATATTTATATATTTATATATTTATATATTTATATATTTATATATTTATATATTTATATATTTATATATTTATATATTTATATATTTATATATTTATATATTTATATATTTATATATTTATATATTTATATATTTATATATTTATATATTTATATATTTATATATTTATATATTTTAATATTTTTATATATTTTTATATTTTTATATAATTAAATATTTATTTTTTAAAATTATTTAATTTAATAAATTATTATAAATTAATCTAATTATGATTAAATTAAATTATTAAATAAAAAATATTTTATTTTTTAATTAGGTGAATAATTAAATTATATTATATAAGTTCACTGAACGGATATATCCGATCGGTAAATAATTGTTAATTTCTTGACGGAAATATCCGATTCGGTAAATTACTGGATATATCCGTCGGTAATTAATTGTTAATTTATTGACGGATTTACCGACGGATATTTGCGTCAGTAAATTCATCTATAAATTACCGACACATTTATCGACGGATATATCCGTCGGTAACTAATTATTATTTTACCGACGGATATATCCGTCGGTAACATCAAATTTCACAAATATTTTATATTCGTCGGTAATTTCCGTCGGTAATGATTATTTTTCGACGGCTATAAATCTGTCGATAAATATCCGTCGGTAATATGTGATTTTCTTGTAGTGTAAAGGTAAATCATAAACAAAATATTTGTTCACAATTGGTGATATTGTACTATTTTATGGAGATATGTGAAACAAAACATAACATTAACATCATCAAATCATGTAGAAATTTTAGCATTATATAAGATTAGTCGTGAATGTGTGTGGTTGAGATTAGTAATTCAACATGTGGAAGAAACTTGTAGCCTAAAATGACATCAACAATCTTATACAAAGATAACAAAACACATATTACTCAATTGAAAGAAAAATATATTAAAGAAGAATAAACAAAACATATACTTTCAAAATTCTTTTTCACTTATGATATAAGAATACTGATATAAAGATTCAAAAGGGTTAGTTCATGTGAAAAATTAGTAAATTTATTTACAAAATCCTTACAGAAAAGAGTATTTGAATAATTAGTTCATAAAATTGGACTTTATTATTCTCGTGATGATTTATGTGAGGAGAAAAAATAAATTAATTTGATTGATGAATGGTATTTTTTTTCTTTACTAGAATTTTATCCCATAAGATTTTTCCTAATAAAATTTTAATGAATCATATTTTTCAATCAATGGACATCCAAGAAAAGTGTTATAAATAATTATTCACTTATTTGATTTTTATTAGTTATTATTATTATTATTATTTATATGATTTTAACCTTTGCAAGGTTTAAATGATATATTTTAGGTTGCATTTTATATCTATAAATAGATACTTCAAGTCAATTAAATTATCCATTTTATTTTATTTATTTATTTTTTATATCTATTATATATATATATATATATATATATATATATATATAAAGTATATTTTATAACATATTTATATTTTAAATGTAAATTTATTATGTTAATAGATATTATCATATATTGTGGAAATTTATATTATAATAAATTAACTCTCTTTTTTTTTTTACATAACTTACATATTAAAAATCAACAAAATAGTGTTCATATAAATTTTTAGCGCTCTAAAGTAATGTTTTGTATGATGCTTCTCTATTATTATTATTATTATTATTATTATTATTATTATTATTATTATTATTATTATTATTATTATTATTATTATTATTATTATTATTATTATTATTATTATTATTATTATTATTATTATTATTATTATTATTATTATTATTATTATTATTATTATTATTATTATTATTATTATTATTATTATTATTATTATTATTATTATTATTATTATTATTATTATTATTATTATTATTATTATTATTATTATTATTATTATTATTATTATTATTATTATTATTATTATTATTATTATTATTATTATTATTATTATTATTATTATTATTATTATTATTATTATTATTATTATTATTATTATTATTATTATTATTATTATTATTATTATTATTATTATTATTATTATTATTATTATTATTATTATTATTATTATTATTATTATTATTATTATTATTATTATTATTATTATTATTATTATTATTATTATTATTATTATTATTATTATTATTATTATTATTATTATTATTATTATTATTATTATTATTATTATTATTATTATTATTATTATTATTATTATTATTATTATTATTATTATTATTATTATTATTATTATTATTATTATTATTATTATTATTATTATTATTATTATTATTATTATTATTATTATTATTATTATTATTATTATTATTATTATTATTATTATTATTATTATTATTATTATTATTATTATTATTATTATTATTATTATTATTATTATTATTATTATTATTATTATTATTATTATTATTATTATTATTATTATTATTATTATTATTATTATTATTATTATTATTATTATTATTATTATTATTATTATTATTATTATTATTATTATTATTATTATTATTATTATTATTATTATTATTATTATTATTATTATTATTATTATTATTATTATTATTATTATTATTATTATTATTATTATTATTATTATTATTATTATTATTATTATTATTATTATTATTATTATTATTATTATTATTATTATTATTATTATTATTATTATTATTATTATTATTATTATTATTATTATTATTATTATTATTATTATTATTATTATTATTATTATTATTATTATTATTATTATTATTATTATTATTATTATTATTATTATTATTATTATTATTATTATTATTATTATTATTATTATTATTATTATTATTATTATTATTATTATTATTATTATTATTATTATTATTATTATTATTATTATTATTATTATTATTATTATTATTATTATTATTATTATTATTATTATTATTATTATTATTATTATTATTATTATTATTATTATTATTATTATTATTATTATTAATAATAATAATTATAATTAAACGAAAGTACGATTTTCGATCATTGAACTTCAAGAGATACAGATTCCAGTCTAATTTAAAAAGCAGTTATTTCCCCTATTTCATTTATGTTAATACACAAATGACATTTCCAAATATTATTATAATCACGAGATGCATAGATTGGGTTCAGATTATTTAGTGTTGTCGAAATGAACTTTTGCCAAATAACAAACTATTTAAAAAACTGAGTTGCCAGTATTCCTCCAACAATAAATATTTTTTTACAGTAATTTCATTCACTCCAATAGTCATGGCTTCCTTGTTGCCCTTCCTCCCTTTCCTGACGTAAAATCAAAATCCTTCGCATAATTGCAATTTGTCAACATGAAGGAATGGTACAATGCAAACCCTTGCCAGGCCCCACCATAAATTCACCACAGAAGTTAATGGAACAATGCAAACATTCTGAGATTAATCTTCATCCGAGAAGAAATCAACATCTTTGGGAGGACCCCTTTGAAGTTTTGCTTGTAATTCTAGATTTTTTGGCAGAACAAGTTCAGTACTCTGACCTGAAGTGGAGAAATATCTCTCCAGCACCATCTGGTACACAACATATATATAAATATGATAAAGTCAATATTCCAGAAATTTCTTCTCCTGTGATTGGCATTTTAAAGCAGATAGAGTATAAAATTTGATATCCCAAGTTCAGATATGTAAATGTAACTATGTATGAGTGAAATAAATTGCCAAAAAGGTATCATCATGCATAAAAATCACTTACCATGGCAGCATAAGCATCGAGTTTCTTTTTCTGAGACGACTTACTTAAACCCCTGAAAAAACACAAAGTTTTGATTGATAACTTTTAAAAGGAATTTTTTAAATCTCATTTGACTCTCACATCCTATAGCACTACATCCCTCAACATGTCATTCCCCCATTCCCAATTAGAGCAAAACAGGGTCTGCTATTAATATACACTAAAAAAGGGGTTCATAAGCTAAGCACATAATAGCTTCAGTGGAATAAAAACCAAAGCCCTAACCTACATAAAACGAATTTATAAAATAACATGTTTCTCATTGGAGACAGCATGCATATTTCTTCACAAGCAAGTCTTATGTACGGATGAAGGTTTTAATTTTAGCCTACTCGTTTAGTTTTTAACACTAAAGAACTTCACATGATGCTCTGTGGTCTTTTCCCATCAATATATCCCTCCATGAAGCATATGAGAACTGTGTCCGTAAAATACACTGAAAGAATATAGAATGCAAGATCGTGCAGGCAGTATAACCTTTGTGTAAACTTTTCACATTGGTGACAAACCTTGTGATAATGCATCAGATGCCAAATCGTTTTCAAAATTACCATATCACTTGGGAAATTATATCATTTATTGTTTATTTCACATAGAATTTCAAAGGCTATACTACAATCAAAAAAGAAGTTCAAAAATAATTACATGTTAATCATTCTATCTATGGCGTCTGATGTTGTCCCATGTTCATCTTGTAGATATACTCTCCAACCCCTGAAAAAGAGTTGATATATGAATAGAAATTAAACTAGCTATATAAGTAATTAACAATTCAATAAACCCCTAATCAGGAGCCATCCAGAATTCCAAATATGTTATTCAAATTTATAAGTAACTCAATGTCACTTAATATAATTGCTATTTGCTAAAATCAATCACTTAACATAATTCAACATTGGAGGCATTCCCATAACTAACGATTCTGGTGGCTTAGCAGATTAAAAACTGAAGTGTATAACATATAAAACTAAGGCAAATGCCATGCTATTCATATGCTCATTACAGAATTCATAAATAAAGATAGAAGAATTTAAACTGTCATAGCTTCATTAAAATGCCTTACCTCTCAGCAGCTTGAACAGCAAGCCTTCCAGCAACACTTCGAACTTTGTTCGACTGTGGTGTTTCCTTTCCATCAGCAGATTTTGGAAGCCCAATTATAAACTCGTCAACCTCCTACAGTTTGAAAATAATGTCAATTTGAAGGTATGTACCCTCAGAGAAGAAAAAGGATGAATCCAGACCTCTTGTTCGGCAATGTTAATAATCTGAACCTCAAGCTTCTGTCCTCGGAGTTCCAAAACCTAAAGCAACTGCAGGCTTATAAGGATGGAAGACTGATGAAAAACAAATAACATAATTCATAATTGCACTTGCAGTAATGAGCATATTTTAATGTTCTTACAGTTAACTGCAACATTTTTTTTATCAATTGTAGTAATATGCTTTAGCATGTTTTCTGTCCTTATAAATATACTAAATTTTGGTTTTTGTCCCTCTATGATTTGGCTTTAAACCACCAATTTCATCCTTGAAGGTCTACTTTCTCTTCTAAGTGGCCTTTGAAGTTAAAAAAGAAACTTAAATAGTCCTAAGATATAAAATCATGTTAACTTGTCCCCCAAATATTAAAAGAACCTTCAATTTAGTCTCTAAACTTTTAAGGACAGAGATGATGAATACAAAACTTTATGGATTCCTGAAATAGTTTTATTACTTTGGAGACTATTTAGTAAAGAAGATACAACTTCAAGGAGATCCATGACAAAATCAAATATTCTGCTAAATGCTGATGTGTCACTAAATCAGTTAGCAGTTCATTTGGGATCTCATTACTTGGTAAGTGGTAGGGTGATATCAAAATCAGTTAGCAGTTCATTTGAAATCATTCAAACAAACATCAAGAATCGATTTCTTAATGTAGAACCAAACATTACCTAATATAACGTTAGTGACATGTCAACATGGTTCCCCACAATTAAACGTGAAACCAAACACAAACTTAATAAATTTCTCATATCGGAAGAAACAAAGGATCCACTTCATCCAAATTCAATCCCAACATTTGGAATATATGTATACAAAATGGACAAAGAACCCAAAACAAAGTAAAACTTTGCATGTTCAATTCATCCCAATTTCATAGACATTGAAAAGTTTTAAAAGTAAAAGAGAACAAGAGAAGTTGTTACGGTTAAAGGTCGAATAGAGAAGCCTTTGCTGAGAGCAAGGCCAGTGCGAGCCAATCCCAAGTCGAGTCCAAGGCTGAACCCTCCTCTCCATTGCGGCTCTCTCTTCCTCCGAATCGCGTTTGGGGGAAGTTCATCCAAAGTTATTGCATTGACTATGCTACAACTATGACCATACCCATTTTTTAAATTCACAAAAGATGGGATTTTTGTAACATTTAAAGGGGAACAGGAGAGGGACAATTTCTGGGGTGGCAGAGGCACCACTTGCTTTGTCAACATTGTCGCAACGAAAGACTGAAACAGACAAAGAGAAGAGAGAGGATAATAAAAATTAAAGGGTCTAAGTTCTGTTTTCTTCTCTCAAAATTCATACCAATTGAAATGAATTTATCATCACCTAATTTTTTTTATAGTAAGTTTGATTTGATACTTAATATTTAATTTATAATGCTGGTGAACACATCTATTTTCCATTCTATCTTTTATGTTATATAATTATTTTTAATTACATTTTAATTATTTTCTAAAATATACTGTGAACAAAAAATCAATTCTATCTTTTAATATATACATTGTCCTTCTTCTTTTATTTATCATATTATATAATTATTTTTTTAAAATCGTCTTTAATATTATGATAATATTTTTAGTAACGTTATTTTTTTTATATGGATTCAGATATATTTCCACTGGTGTATATATAAATTTAATTGAAACAATTATTATGTTAATTTTTAATTTACTGTGCTAATGTGTAGTTATTGTAGTCAAATATTTAATTGGATCTTCAATACTCTTTAAATTAATATGAAATATCTAATTATTTTAGTTAAATATTTGCATGCTATAAGAATTAAAATGTAAACACAATTAGTAGTAAAATTATTGTTAAAATTAAATTAACATATTTAGATATGAAAATAGTTAAAAAAAATCTTTAAAGTGGCAATTTCAATTTATATCAATTTTTGAGTTTCAGACAACTAATTTAATCTAAAATTAATTATATTTTTTTATAACACTTTTTTCTCATACAAATTTTATTACTGATAAGTTTTTATGATAGTTTTATAAAAAAAGAGGAAATTAATTTATTTCTAATGAAATTAATATGAAAATTAATTAATAATTATAATTACATTGAAAAATAAAAAAAATGTATTGTTAACATTATTTAAAAGGAAAGAAAAAAGTCAGGCACTTGAGTTTCTAAAATGCACCGTTCTAAAATGTATTCTATAATGAAATTGAGTTAATAAATTCACTCATGTAGACACTCCAAACTGTTTTATGTTATTTGTTCTCTTGTCCTCAAGTTAAAATTGATTAGAATCATCATTTTTTTTTATGAAATATATACATCAATATTCATGGATCATATCTTTTATTTCATTCCCAGTTCCAATGTTAATAGGAGTGAGACTTCTCCTTTTTCCGACAGCAATGAAAAAGATTAACTGCATATAGACTTTTTCTAGTATTTTCTTGTTAATTATAGTTCTTATTTTTTTTCCCTTGATTTGTCTATTCATCAAATCATATAATAGTTTGAGTCATCAATATATGGTCTTAGACCATAAATAATGATCTTTCTTTAGAGTTTGGGTACTTGATCGACTCACTTACTTCTATTATGTCAATATTAATTATTACGGTAGACATTCTCGTTCTTATTTATAATGATAATTATATGTCTCATGATCAAGGATATTTGAGATTTTTTTTATTATATGATTCTTTTTAATATTTCAATGTTAGGGATTAGTTACTAGTTTGAATTTCATACAAATTTACTTTTTTTTGGAAATTAATTGGAATGTGTTCTTATTTATTAATAGGCTTTTGGTTCACTCGCTCTATTGCGGCAAATGCTTGTCAAAAAGCATTTCTAAATAATCATGTAGGGAATTTTGGTTTATTATTGGGAATTTTAGGTTTTTATTGGATAACAGGTAGTTTAGAATTTCGGGATTTGTTACCAATCATAAATAACTTGATTTTTAAAAATAAAATTAATCTTTTTTTATTACTCTGTTTACCCTCTTGCAAGACTCTAAGAAAGTTAAATATTCCATTAATGAACCTCAAATCTTGACTCTTACTACATGAGCATTTCAAAATCATATAGATATAGAATACTAAAAAAATGATTTTTTTATCCTCATTTAACAAAAAGAATTTCATTTTATCAATTTACACTGATTTACAAAGTATCATAACCTATTTTAAATTATATATGATTAACGATATCGTTTCTGAAAAGAATATCCAAATACCAAATACGACCTCTATAAAATTTCTGCAAAGTAAAAGAAGTTCTTGGAAAAATCAAAGAAAAAATATCTTCTTCTATGAAAAAAATTTTCAATAATATTTCTAAACTTAATTTTTGCAAAAAGGTGCGCACAGTACTTTTGTGCTTAGGAGCCAAAGTTTTTATACAAGAAAGCTGAAATATATATTTTATTTGAAAGAAACTCTATTTTTTGTGGATCCATTGTAATAATGAGAAAAATTTATGCATATCCACAAAAACCGGTCAATAATATCAAAATCAGATAAATTGGCCCAAATGAACTTACTAATGGGATGACCCAATACATTACAAAACTTAGAATAATGGAATCGACTCGATCATCAGATTTTTGAATATAAGTTCATAACCCTAGCCCATTCCCATTTTAGGCGGAGTATATCTACTAATTCTTTGATTCTAGTTAATAAGGTAAGAATTGAACTAAGAAATAGATTCTAGAAGTTAAAAAAGGGTATCCTAAGTAATTTCAATAATTGGGTTCATTGATATTCCTGATATAGTAGATGTTATCACACATATAATCATACTTAATTCAATGGAATTATTTGATCTTAAATGCAGTGGCGGATCTTGAACATTGATCTTGGGGGGGGGCAAATAATAAATTATTAATAAATAATAAATAAATATAAAAGGAAGAAAGAAGAAGAAAGGGTAAAAGGATAAAATTGTAGATATATATTTAAATATATTAAATGATCATTAAGTTTGAGAGGGACAAAGTCATAAATTACATGGGAGTTACAAAATTAAGGAGGGGTTGAGAGGATAGAATTGTAAATATATAAGTAAATATATTAAATGTTTATTAAGTTTGGAGGGGCCAAAATCATAAATTATACTGGAGTTATAAAACTTTGGGGAGGTCACGGCCCCCCTCAGCTCCCAAGAAGATCCGCTACTGCTTAAATGGGACCTTCTATAATTTCGCACGTGAGAAGTTATTTCTTGGTTTCGTCCAATCATTAATAACTTGATTATTTTTAGATAATAGTAAATAGAAACAATGTTTGTAAGAAGTCCTATTGAAACCAATAAATATAAGCCTATCTGCCATCCACACCAGAATAAATGAAGTTTATCAAAAAAACTTGCTAATGGAGGAGGACCTCCTAAGGATAAGAGACATAGGATTAAAAAGAGAGCGAAATAAAAAATATAATCTTACCTAATATTGAATGTAGACACTTCAAAGTGTTTTATGCTCTTTGTTATCTTGCATCTCAAGTTAAGACATAGCAAATTTAATTACAAACACTGTTAACTTCCAAAAATCAAGAAATTGTGGACTGTTGGAGTGAGAAAGTACTGTGATAAGAAAACATACACCACCAACTTTGATGAGAGCGTGTAAGTGTTAGTATTAGGCGAAGAAGAACTTGGCAACATCGTTAGTTGCAGTGTTAATTAGATATAAATAGGGTAAGAAAGATAGGAGAAGGAAACTCATCACATGAACAAACTCATATAAACATACCTTAAAAAAATTTCTCCAAAAACTAATATATAAAAGTTATCTCAGATTTTTTTTTAAAATTTTTATTTCTTATTTTATGTATAAAAAATCTCTTACATATCCTTTAAATTTATACTTTTTACTTCTACATTTTATCTTATATATAAATTAATTTTAACTTATAAAATAACTCATTTTATTGTATCTAAAAATACTTATTGATAAAATTGTTTATACACATGCATTATACTCTTGAATCTTGAGGTTGCTGCCCAGCTAAATAATTTTCTAATCGCCTTTACAACCAATTATAATGTCTTTTTTTTTTTCAATTGGTTTAAACAAAATTCTCCAGTAATATTTATAAAAAAATTTAAAAATATATTTTGAATAAATTAATATTAAACATACATTAATATGCAAAACTCTTATATTAACTTCTTTAAAACATAACTTTAACATATACATTAGCTACTAAAAAATAATTTCATTTTTCCTTCAAAAACTTTTCTTTCAGAAGTGCGGGTTGAAAAAAATTCAAAATCAGTTTTCTTGAAAGGCTAAACTGCATTATCCTTACGTATTTACGTTCACTGGTCCGCTCCCAACATCGACCACTCAAAGGTATTTTTCACATTGCAGTAACATAAAATAAAGGATTTCTAGCACATCCTAACATCCATATCAGCAAATTCCTACAGTATTCAAATCTACCTCTAATAGAAAAGAAAATCCCAACAACAGTTAAATAACCACCTTTTTGGGCCCAATAAAGTGAAAAATTATAAAAAGAAAGAGAATGATTGAGAATCTTCTTTGGCCTACCAAGTGCTGGGGGATTCAAATTCTGAATGCTCCTTGGTCATTTGCTGCACCTTAATTGGCTGCGGGTGTCCCTACAGCAGCAATATATTGGGAGATTTTACACCTGTTGTTGAGTTTCGGAACCTCCATCTTCAATTTGAGTGCTGACACTTGAACCTTGCTGAGCTTTTGATCCCAGTGGGACAGGTAACAGCTCAGTTTTTGTTTCCCCTGTTTCCACAGAAGGATTTTCCAAATTAGCATGTGCTGTGATTTCTGATACTTGCGTCTGCAATAACTGGGGTTCACAACTTGGTCCAGCCATAGACATGGAAGCAGGTATCTGAGGAGCCATAGCACCTGGCACTTGTGCTGCTGCTGTAACTTGTGCCTGAGACAGTACAGTCATCAGGAGCTGAGCCAAAAGTACTTGTGGATCATTATCACCTTGCTGTACTTGAGCATTGATTGCATCGGACAGAGCATTGATGTCAGTTGGGTAAAGTGCGTGAAGTCCCAAGAGTGCTCCAGACAGAGCATGCTGCTGGCCTACTCCAGATGAAGCTTGGGGATCATGAGCACGCCTTAGTTTTGATAAATGCTTTTTCCCAGTCACATGACTCTGGTAAACAATTTGTGACTCACATTTAACATCACACAACTCGCATCTAAAAGACACATTTTGTGAAGATTCCACTGGCTTTAAACCATCATTGGTTCTCATGTATTTACCTCCTTTTCCTCCTTTCTTCTTTCGCTTTAAACCTCGGCCTCTTGCAGCAGAGTTATCCATGTTTCTTGCCTCAGGTACTTCAGCTGGAACCTCAGAAATGTTTCCCACATTATTCTGCAGCTGAGTTTCCTCCTCCTTGTGATTATTAACTGTAACCCCAGAGCCCATATTTTGCGTGGGACATCCATTTTTCTCAGACTCCTGAACTTGCTTAGGTTGATCTGTTAAATTCAACTGAGAGGGAGGAATTTGCCCACTCTGTTGTCCATTTAGAGCATTGCGCCTTTGCAATTCTTCATGAACGCGAATATTCTTCTGATGTTTCTTCCCATTCTTGTGTTGCTCAAAGATTTCAGGAGTATTGCACTCAACCTTACAAATTTCACAACACACCTTGCGAGGTAGTGGTGGTTGCACTCGAGCTGGTTTAGGTAATTGTGTTGGCGCAGAGACTGATGATGAAGGTTCTATCATGGAAGCAGTCCCGGCAGCAACAGGCCCACCTGCCGCATGAGAAATAGCAGCTCCAGAAGAATGAGATGGTATGTGTCTACCACCCCCCCTACCATGACCCCGACCACGACCAGCCCCTCTAAATGGTCTACCACCCCTGCCACCCCTACTTCTGTATTGAGATGGCCCACTCTGTAAAAAATAATTCGCATATGAATTCAATAATATATTGATATGGTTACAATAAGAGGAAATTATTAGAATGACAAGATGAGCCACAAATCAAATCACAGAGGTGGTAATTTTCAGAAAGAGAAATGTAAGAAAAAACAGGTCATAAAATTGAAAACTTTCAGTAGCCCACAATAATAAGTCAACACTGAACAAGATGAAATACAAGTCAATTAATGAAAAGCTATGATTCCTATACAGGAGAACAGAGTTATTGATAAAGATAAAACTCAGAAAATGAAATATCCGGTTTAGGCATGCGATAATAATCAAGGTATTTTAAAACAGAGTAATTTTAAATTTTCACAAACATTAATAACGACCATCAGGGGCAACAAACTGCTTGCCAAGACATCAACAATTCAAGTATCATTCCAATTCTTATAAATGATTCAATCTAATCAAAATTTCGAATATGCAACATCAACAAGGTTGGCATTCACTTGAAAAGTACTTAATCATCAATTCAATAGAAAAATAAATGCCTTCAGTGTTCTTCAATGATCATTACGACAAGAGATTAATCGGATCTCAAAATAAATACTGAAATAGAAAATTAACTTGATAGTGGATTAAACGTACAGCTTAATTGCTTAAGAATTTTAGTTTTAAATGTTTCTTCATTTTTAACTTCTTTTCCAATCCTTTTCTTCTAATTTCCCATCGAAAATTCAAATTAGTGGATGCCTTATGTACCAAGCTCCATTTTTTTATTCCAAAAGTTAAATGCAGCTAATAGTAACATGATCCAGAATTCTCATTATTATCCTTGACAATTTCATCTCCAAACAAACTACCATTATAAGAAGAATATAGAAACACCACTCAAATGTTGGAAAATGCATGGTCGTTCTTAAACTTGTCAAATTCTTTTATTGTCCCTTCATTGAAAATTATACTTGTTGATAAGCCACATGACATGTATTTGCCTCATTATGGTTGAGATAACACATGTATGGCTCACAGATAAATTATTCTCAACTTTCTAACCAATAAATACACACACCCATTGTCGAGGGATTTGGCCCAATTCATGCCTATCTTCTATGAGCCTCAAGATAATGTTGATCTAGGAATCCTTGAAAAGTTGTCAATTTATGGTCCTGAAAACATGATCAATGCTTCCCTAAGTCTAAAACTGAAAAGAAACATCTTCTTTCTAAAGAGAGAACTAAATCATATCAAATAAAAATTATGTCCAATGAATAACAAAATGAGCAAAGTTTCTTGTTCTTAAACTGTGAGGCACTGATTATAACTTTGAAAGGCCAAACAGTTAAGAAGAGAAACAAAATTATCTGATGTCCACATCAGCACTAAAGCAACCAGCAAAGACCACCACCGTGAAGCATTATTGTGACTACAAAGATATGATATGAGCCACAATAGCTTGTGCTTATATTATGTAACTCCTGTCTTTATCTGGTCACTCTAGGTTGTTGTGGCCAAGTTTGCAGAATTCAACATCTATAGAAGGTTTTAAAGGAAAAAGCTGAGGATATAATACCTAATCCAGTATCGAACTTTTGTCCAGAAACGGTCCCAAAAGAGGCTGAGGAAGCACAGCAAGCTATTCGTTCTAAAAGCATAAGAAAATGTTTAAAAAGTAAGTGTTGCAAAATCTTTAATCGGCCTTTTCCATTTACTTCTTCAAATGTATTTTCCCCCTTTTGCTACAAAATTAAGAAACTGACATGCTGGTGTAGCAGCAAATATGCCGAACTAAGTCAAGGAGTAATAAACCATATTAAATGGCTTAACTTATAATGAATCTATCTCTCTTGATTCAGGTACGCCGAAGCAACTTACAAGGGCTAATTATAAAGCCCAGACTGGTTGGCATAGAATATAATACAACAATTTCAAAGATCTCACTGGAGCAATATTATATACAAAGCCTTTTATGATGTAAAATATCCTATGCCAAAGCCTTTATTTGAAACTGTAAACCCATAGCATATGTTGGTTCTACTCATCTTGTTTAGTTGAAGAGATTCAAGCAAATAGGCATAGGATGACCACTATTTTAAATGTTATAATAAAAGTTACAAATAAAAACCCAATAATATAAAGAAGTTCATAATAAATAATAAATCACAGTTTACAGAATCACCGCCAATCTATGATCAACAAGAACAGAGTAACTAACTAAAAAAAGTGAAAGATGATAGAGCAATTATTATAAAAAGAACATAACAAATTAAAAGAATTTGAAAAAAAAAAAAAAAAAAAAAAAGCAAAATGTGAACTTAGGAAGTCTAAAGGAAGAAATGAAAACAGAACACATGGCAAAAGAAGTATATTATAAAGTGTGAAAGAACAGAGAACTTTTTTTTGGAATATTTTACCCAAAAAACTCCAAATAATGTTCTATGGCTAAATATGGGCTTTCGAAGGTAGTCATGGTAGTGGGGCCATTGCAGCTGCAGTGGACTTAATTGATAACCACTCCACTGTTTGAATCCTGTAGGTGTTGACGGAGGGATGCATTGCATGCTACTTCACTAGAGCACACTACTGACTAATATGCATATAAAACTAATTTTGATCAAGCCTAATGTCATTAATTGATCCATGAGAGCCATCAGGTATAAATTGAGAGAGTTAGGAGTAGTTATGAGAGCTATTGGCAGAAGTTAGTGCAGTCTATGCTGTCAATTGCATCACTGTCATGGCCAATTCTGGATAGTGATCACAGATTTTGAAGCTACTTGACTCCAAAGGGTGGAGCATTGCAAGCTTGAAGAAGTGGTTGTGATTTTGATCCAAATCATGTCTATAGCAGCAAGCTCTGCTTCTCAACGTATGGGTTTTTTTCCTACCAGCACAGTTGTCCGACAAGCTTTGCACAACAGTACATGTGACTTGCGTTGTGGTTAAATTCCTGTCTTCTTTCAAATTGTGCCAAAACTGTGCCTTAGGAAAACAACCAACATGCGAATTTCTCACTGACTTTATACTTCACATCCAAAGCTTTTGCACTATTCTTCCTTCTATTCTCTGTGTGATCAATCTACACCTCTGTGTAAACAATTGGGGACAACAACGAACAGCAATGGAAGATTTGCTGGAAAGTGTATATATCCTTGGGTAGAGCCAGCAATTTTATATAATTTAGAAGTTAAACCCTTTTTTGTGTGATATTGTGTAATACACAATGTAACAAATTTGTGTACCTATAAAGCCAACTCTAGAGGAGCATTGTTTTGGTTTCTCCTGCTCTATGACTACAAACTATACAATCCGAGAAGAAAGACAACAAGCTAGGGACAGCGTAAAGAATGGTAGTAGCATTTATTCAGAATGAAAACTTTATTCCATGTAACATATACAAAGGCACTGATGTGAAATTACAGGACGATTCAAACAGAACCTTTCAGCAGACCAACAAAAAGCAACCGATACCATTAATATCACTTCAGATGCAAACACAACATAATCAAAAATTTCAAGGACACTAAAATCTTTTATGAATACCACATTAGTCAGAATATAAGAAGATCAATATCGGACTTAAATGAGGCTAATTTGTAACAAAATCACAAACAGTTGTCCCATAAGAATTTTATAGGCCATCCATCCACTTGAGTCAAAGTTAAGTGTCAGAGTAGCAGGGCATACTCACAACCCACTCTCACAATCACCAAAACATTATCTTTTAGGATAACAAACACCGATATACGGTCTAAAACACCAAAATCCCCATACTCATTACCAAGGTTTTAAAACCAATCAGCAACTGCAATTTCAATTGCAATGTCAAGGTTTTTGAGGCTTCCCCAACAGCAATGCGAGCACAATTGTGGCAGCAATTTCGACTGCCGTTGTTACCGGAAAGACCACGTTTGTTTGTAATTTCCCATAATATCAAGGAACACGACCACAATTGTAGCTGCAATTTCGATGGCAATCGTGGCCACAATGGCTGCATTCGTTTACAAATTCCCTTAACATCGATGAACACACACAAAAATCACAAAAGCGACCACAAAAACTTGCTAATAACAGGTTGATGAACCCCAATTCATTATTCAAGCACATCACGAACTCACTATTCCCCGCCAATCCCACCCAATCCACATTTAATTAGGCCACCACCCACTCACACAATTTTCCGCATAAAATCTCACAAAAAATCTAAGCACATGAAAGCTAAATAGAACAAATGGAATTAATTATTACATATTTAAGAATTGGAAGGGTTGAAGGAAAAAATTACCGGGGCGGGTTCGGGAGCGGTGGGGTTGACGCCGGGAGGGTGAAGCGGAGCGGGTTCGGGTTGGAATTGATACTGGCTTTGATGTGTGTTAGGAAAATAGTATTGGGGATTGTAACCGTAGTATTGTTGATACGCATAGGATTGATCGTAGGGTTGGATTTGGATCTGAGAAGGGTCGTAGCCATATGAATGTTGTTGCGATTGCTGCTGGTAGTTGTAGCCCGAATAATCCATCGCTGCAATCACACAATTTGCTGTGTGTTTCGTGATGATGACGAAGACGAAGATGATGAAGAGGGAAAATCAACGGACACAAACGCTCGTGTTCTATTCTACCTGATTGAACGCAGTGTGGGTAGTCGTTTCGCTCACTCTCGTCACGGCCTCAGCAAATTTAACTATTTATTTATTTATTTAAATTTGCAGTATGTAAATATTTAATGGTGATGAACTATAAAAGATTTTATATTACTAGTTAAAAAATTATATTGTTCGTTTTTTTTATTCTATATTAAATAATTTATAATTAGATAATAATGTAAAATTATTATTGAATGACTTTTTATCCAATTATTAAGTGTTTGTTTAATAAGTATGGATCAAGCATATCTGATTTTTTTTTCAATTATAGACCACTAATATAAAAGCAACTAATATAAATTATTGTTAATAACTTATAAGAATATGAATTTTTTTATAATACTTATTCAGTAAAGTATTTTAAGTTGGATAAGAGAGGATTAAGTTGTAAAAAGTAAAAACAGAAAATTTAGTAAGTTTTGATATTAACTTCTTGTAATTTTTTTCTTCCTATAAAGTTTGAAATAATTGGTTTTAATCTTTATAAAATGTTTTAATTTTTATTTTAATCCCTCTAAAATATTTTTATATAATTTTCAATTTATTATTTATTTTAAGACAAATAAATAATATTTATTTTATGAATCTTATTTTTTTAAAATAACATGTGTTATCATTTAATTATTTTAATATATAAACAATTGAATAGAGATTAAAAATATTAATTTTAATATTTAGAAGGATAAAAATAAAATAATAATTTTACAAAAAATAAAATTTTATAATGGCTAAAACGTATTTAAACTTATTAATTTAAGTTACTTTTTTAAGTCTCTTTCGTAATTTCTCTCTTTTATATATATATATATAAACTAAAATTCAATCAAAATAATTATATCTCCACCTATCTCAAAAATTTTATATTATATTTAGATAAGATATTTTTTAATTTTTAGAAAATTTAAATATATTATATTTGAATTGATTTTATTTAAAATAATATAATTTTTTAAATAATTCATTTAAAAAAAATATATTAATTTTTTTATAAAATATTGTAATTATCATCAAATATAAACAATAGTAAAATTATCATCATTATATTATTAAATAGATTTAATTTTATAATATTTGACTTTTATTATGAGGAAGGTTGCATTACCAAAGATGAATTATAAGTGAGATTGTGATAAATTAATAAAAATAAATTGTACTATATTACAAATGTTGAGTGATCAAATTGAGTTGGATTGAGTCTAAATAACTTACTTTGGCTAATTAGATTGAAACTTATCCAGGAAGAATTAGATTAGGTTATCACAAATTAGATAAACAATTGATTCAACCGAGTCAAAATAATTAGGTCGGACAAATTAATAATGTACCAGATTCAAAACGATTAAGTTAATATAATTCGAAGATGATTAAAATATATTAAATTGGTTCAAATAAGATTAAAATGGATTAAATTTGTATTATACCATACTCATTTTGCTTGGAAGTATTTTAGTCAAGTTTTGAGAAAAAAATAATTTTTAAAAAAATTAAAAAAAATAATGTTTAAAGGTAAATTTGAAATAAGTAAAATATTCTCATAATTTTTAAAATTTCAATTATTCTTTAAATTATTTATTTAATAAGAAACATTTCAAATATTCTGTTAAATTGAATTGTTGTTTATAAATTTATCTAAAATTTGAAATGAAGCAAAATTCAATCTTATAATTAGAAGAAAACAAAATTATTATTATTATTATTATAAGCTGTACTACACTTGCCAGTGGCAGCAAAAAGTTGAAGTTACACAACATTAATAGTATTTTATTTTAACCTTTTATTAGTTACACTCAATTCGAAACTTATCCTATAAGTTGTTTATAATTTTTTATGAAAAATTAAGTTTTTTTTTCAAAATTTAAAATTATTTCATGTATAAAAATATAACGAACTTTTTTAATATAATTTTTCTGAATTCTTTTTTAATCTGTATAAAATAACGTTAGCTTTATATAAATCTATTTTATTTCTTTCGCATTTTTTCCTAAAATCATTAGGATGGAATTTATTCAAAACGAACTTTGCATGTATATTATTATTATTATTATTATTATTATTATTATTATTATTATTATTATTATTATTATTATTATTATTATATAAGATTTATTTTTATAATGTTGATGTTATTATAAAGAAAAAAATATTATGCAAAATAAATAAAGAAACAATATAGCTATAAGAGTGAAAAAAGAAAAAAAATTGATGATAGACAATATGTCCATCGAAGCTGAAAAATGATCGGCAAGATAGGAAAATGAAGTTGATTGGTCGATCTTCGTATCAACTTTGAAGATAATCTCGAGAAAAAATGCAGAGGCTCACCTGCAAAAGACATTCTGATACTCAAGTCAACTTTTAGACAAAAGATTGGTATATGAGAATGAGGTATGGGATGAGGTTTACTCCATGGTTAGATCTCTTTATATAGTATTCTAAAGATAACAATGGGTTGATATATAATAATTGATAACTTATAAAATAATAACTAATATAAATATTATAACAAAATAAAAATATTTAATAACAAAATAAATAAAAGTAGTATCTTTAATGAATTTTGGCCGGTAAACACGGTTGATCGGCCTAATAATTTTGGATTGGATAGGTATATAAACCCCCAAGCTCACAAGAAGAAGGTTGAATGAGCTTATATGTTTGGTCTCTTAATGAAAGACTTTAATAAAATAATTACAATTCGAAGAGATGTTACTTTTACTATTATTTACCTTTTCATTTTCTTTCATTGTTCCTCTTTTAAACTTCCCGCTTCTCTTATTTGTCCATTCCTCCCACCCTTATAACTACCCTCTGCATCAATAAGTACGTTCTTTTTCTTTTACATTATGTCTAATATTGATAGAAGTCAACCTAGTTCTATATTTGTGAGAGAAATGTGAAGCGCTTTAAGACTAGCAAGTAGTTCTGATGAAGAGTACACCCAGTGGCGGATCTTGATCATTGATTCTGGGGGGTCAAATAATATATTATTAAAAAATAATATAAAAGGGTGAAAGAAGATGAAAGGGTGAGAGGATAAAATTGTAAATGTATAAGTAAATATATAAAATGATCATTAAGTTTGGGAGGACAAAATCATAAATTATGAGAGTTACAAAACTGAGGAGATGCTGAGAAGATAAAATTGTAAATATATTAGTAAATATATTAAAGTTTGAGGGGCCAAAATCATAAATTACATGAGAGTTATAAAACTTTTTTAGGGGGGTGGGTCACGACCCCCCTCAGTTCCCAAGAAGATTCGTCACCGAGTGCACCCACTCTGTGTCTCTAGAAAATGCTCCAACAATGGATGCTTCGAGGTGTATTATTCAGGAAGTTGTTAACTTTGACTGGTGCTGATAAGATAAAAATTTTGCAGAATAGCAGAGAGTGTCTACTCAACTAAAGGCTCATGAGGATGTCATTTCTGCTAAAGTCAAGGAAAATGAAGCGCTTACTTTGCGTGCTTTAAAGGCTGAAGATGATCTCCAAGTGGAGATATGTCGAAACAAGGAACTTGTGAACAAGATTACTATGTTATAAGGGGAGCATTCTCAGCATAAGAGTCAATTAATCGAGCTGAAAAACAATATGTTAGATAGTTATGAGGATAGCTTCAGGAAAGTCATGCGTCAAGTTGTCTTATCTGTCATCGAGCTCGATGTTTCTCGTTTTGACATTAAAAAGGATGTCTGTGATGGAGAGTTAGTAGATGATAGTATGTAATAACAACATTAGTATTTTATTTTTTTGTATCTCTTGAATTGATGTATAACTTTAAACATTTTTAGTACTTGTTTCAGTATATGTGTTGCCTTTTACTATGCAGGTTTCGTAAGTTTTATACTCGTTTTCTTGAGTACGATACACATATTATCAAAATGTTTTTTATACTCGTGTTTTTGAGTAGTTATTATATTTATAACTCTGAGTAAGGTATAATTCATTTATACTTGTAACCTTGAGTAAAACATGATTTATTTATACTCGTATCCCCAAGTAAGGCATGATTTATTTATACTCGTATCATCGAGTAAGGAGTAGTACATGTTAAACTCGTATTAGGAGTGAAGTGTGATACATTTATACTTTTCTCATCGAGTAAGGTGTGAGACATTCATATTGTGTGATGTGTCTATACTCGTACACCCGAGTAAGGTTGTTACTAATTGTAATACGACTTTAGATGTGTTGCGTTCCAAGTTCACGGAACAAGTCTTCCGTTCAACTCTTGTAATTTATACGCCCCGTTGTGTAGTGAGTCAGTGATGCGAAATGGTCCATCCTAATTAGGAACTAACTTTCCTTCTCCGTGTTATTTCTAACCTTCTCCAACCTTTCTCCATACTAGGTCTCATTTTTAGAAGTCTCTTTTTCTGACCTTAGAGTTGTGGCACTAAGCTATTCTTTCCTTTCGGACATGAGCTGAAACCCTTAACTCGTCGATAAAATCCAGCTCAATACATCGGTTCTTCATTCTTTTATTTGTTAAATTGTTGTCATCACCATGATTTTCCCCTTAACTCCACAGGGATCATGATGTCGGTTCCATATGTTAGCTTGAATGGGGTTTCCCTCGTAGAAGACTAGGGTGTATAATGATATCCCCATAATATCTATGTTATTTCCTCGGCCCATAGTCCTTTGCCATTACCCAACTTTTTCTTTAATCCTCCGATATGACCTTATTAGCAGTCTCGACATGTCTGTTGGATTGAGGGTGTTCGACGGATGATACTCTATGTTATATGTCGAGTTGGTTGAAGAATTACTTTAAGTTTTTATCTATAAAATGTCTCTCTTTATTGATGATAAGTGCTTATGGAAGACCATGTCGACAAATGATATTTTTCCATACGAATTTTTGTACTTGT